GTTAGGCGCTATATAAGCACTGTAATTATTATTATTATTAATAATAACTAGATTTGTAATACTTGTTTGGAACAAGTATAGGTGGGCTGATCCAACATAAAATTGAGACAAAATGGAGGGTACATTTGAGATAGCTTTTTGTCTCAGCTACAACATACTCGAAGTGCAGCGTAAATGAAGCTAAAACGACGTAGATATTGCTAGCGAAAGACGGGAATGTAGAATCAAGTTTTGAGAAAAAGTCATGTCCCATAGAGAATACACGCAAAATGTGTGAAATTGACATGCCTCCTTCAATCGCAAAAATACGCCATGATGCCTTTGTCAAAATGAAAAATATTAGGAACTGCATTTGTAGAAAATTGTCTCAGCTAGAACCTATCAAAATTTGGAAGAAAATCGATCAATATTTACAGAGATACAATCAATTTTCCATAAATATGCTGACGTCATAATATGTAAATTGGAATCTTGAGTTCGGAGGCCATTATGATGACGTCATGAGTTAATTGAGGGTCAAATGAGACATGAAACAATATCTCCGAATCATACTCTATTAAAATATGAAAAAATTGGGGTCACCTTGCATCCTAAAGAGCTACAATGGATTTTTTATTGGCATGTTTTTGCCCATATATGCTATGTATTACAAGAGCTCGCGCGCACGGAAATTTATGTTAAACGGTCGATCAATCCGTTATTAATAGTCATAAAGGGACAAACGTGGTATCAATTTGTTTGTAAATTTATGTGGAATATTATGAAGTAAAAAAAGGCAATTCTATGTTCTGCAATAGTTTTACGCGCGTGTGCGCGATTTTTTATAAAATGCTTAGAATGGCCTTAAACGTATGCAAAATGATTTTGAGACGATTTTGAGCATTTCAAAATTTTGCGCGCGCATTGACGCGCGGACGTACGCGCACGCGCGCGTTTTTTGACCTGAATTTGACCGGACGGATATTGCCCTTGATCATAATAAATATGAATGAGAAATACCTTTTGGTTATGAAGATATGATCATGAGTTGATTTTCGTAAAATTTTACAAAATGGCGCCTAGATGACGTCATCAGTGAAGGCCAACGTTGAAAACATTATTGTGCTTTGTACATATGCCTATACATATGTGTGCCAAATTTCAAGGCATTTGATTAAGCCATTTTCAAGTTATCTTGCCAACAAAAAAGTGGTTAGAAATAAGAAAAATATATAATAAATAAATAATAAAGGCAATTCTAACGAAATTATAAGGTGGTCTGTACGTTATACAGCCCACCTGATAATAATAATAATAATAATACACAATATCAGTATTAGGTGCTTAATACGTTTGTTTCTAAGCGCACCATTGACTGACTAAAAATTACTAACCAAAACTTATAATAAGCACACAAAATATAAATCTGTTCTTTATTCAATAATGCATATTTATGTAATAATAAAAATTAAAATGAGATCAAACATAAGGTCAAACAAAATATCAAAGAAAAGATCAATCAAACAAGGAATATGGTGGTGTGTACCTCTTTCTATATTGTATATTGACATTGTAAATTGTTTTATATTGGTTGAAAACAGATTTGAATTTGAATGTCCGGCACTTCGATTTGCTTTAGAACTACGAACTATCTCGATAAATTTCCCCTCAATAATAGGTTTCAAGAAAACTGATTTAGAATAATTACCTTCTAAACTTTTTTTTAACCAGACCTTGGCACATGGCAGAATTGAAATCTCGATAATGAACTTAATGTATATTTTTCACAAAACAATCCAAACTCGGGTCCATTCTGACCTCATAATTTTCTGAATAATATAAACTTTGAGGAAATGTTTTTCATTCATTTGAGCTTTCAGCATACCATTGCACTCGTGGCTTTAAATCAATTGCTAACATTGGAGAGAAAACTAATGTATCGAATCTCTACCCTCATAAGGTAACATTTGATTAGCATTATTAGAGAGGCAATCATTGCATTGATATAATCCGTTCGTTTGGAGCCAGAAGGGCGTTAAATCATTTGTAATACTTTAATGCAACAGCATTCTGGCCCTAAACATTGGTTTCCTACAAATTGTGTGATACCGTTCACAATCAGGATGTTTTAACGATGCAATATCTTCAAGTTGGCAACCTATATTGTCTCAATTGTGATTTGTAACCGTTGGCTTACTTTTTAAAAAAAAGTCACTTTCAGTAAGATAACTGGAACACTTTATGAATCCATAGCACATTCAGTTAAGTTATTCTCTTCTCATTTATCTTCTTCATCATCATAACGCCATTGCAGTGGTGTTTTTGATGAGCTATGGATAGGCAATTTCATCGTCTTACTAATAAGCCCCAGAAGACGGGTGAATACAGGTGAATAGGTGAATCATCATTATCGCCACCTTCTTCTTCTTCATCATCACCATCATCATCGGTTGTCTCATATTCTCCTCATCCCCTTCTTCTTCATCATTACTATCATCATCGGTTGTCTCATATTCTCATCATCCCCGTCTTCTTCATCATTACCATCATTATCGGTTGTCTCATATTCTCATCATCCCCGTCTTCTTCATCATCACCATCATCATCGGTTGTCTCATATTCTCCTCATCCCCTTCTTCTTCATCATCACCATCATCATCGGTTGTCTCATATTCTCCTCATCCCCTTCTTCTTCATCATCACCATCATCATCGGTTGTCTCATATTATCCTCATCCCCGTCTTCTTCATCATCACCATCATCATCGGTTGTCTCATATTCTCCTCATCCCCTTCTTCTTCATCATCACCATCATCATCGGTTGTCTCATATTCTCCTCATCCCCTTCTTCTTCATCATCACCATCATCATCGGTTGTCTCATATTCTCCTCATCCCCTTCTTCTCATCGTTACCGCCAACACCCCTAAAAAAGAGTCAAACTGGCAGGGTAGGATGCGCTGATGCTGATGTTTGCCAAGCAGAGTGAGAGAGAGAGAGAGAGAGATAGGGTACCATTCACATGGTGGTTATGGACTGCTATTTTGAGCTTATCTTTGTCGAGGGTTCAAAAGATTGAAGTTTCCAGTCGATGATTGGAAGGGATATTCAAGAATATTATCTCTAATGAAGAAGAACCAAATAAAATTCACATGCTGCGATAGTCACGTTATGAAAATAACATCCTTAGGAAGGTGATCCCAGTCGGAGATCAAACGGTGACGATCCAGGGAAAGAAGCGCGAAAACTGTACACCACAAAAGATCCCGAGCACCAGGAAAAACACCATCATGGATGCCGCCTTACTCGCCCAGGCCGGATTGGAGACAGAACTGAAATATAACGAAAATTCAATTAGTACAATGTTATTCAAAACATTAACCGAAGCACGATTCGAAGATTAGAATATGATTGTAATCAAATTTCAAACTGAAGGTATATGATTCGAGAGCTACATTTTTCTACTGACGTATGAATCTTTGGCAATCATCATTCTAAAGCTCAAAATCTTTGTCAAAAAATCCCTTTTTCAAAGCTTTTCTCTCTCTCTCTCTCTTCCCCCCCTCTCTCTCTCTCTCTCTCTCTCTCTCGTTTATTAAAATGATGTTCATCATATCATTATACAATTACCTCAACACTATCGGAAATAATAGTCTGCTTTTAGTCAGCATGTCATCAGGTCACTAACGAAGTTCTAAAGTAAACACATTTTCCCCCTCAAGATTAGAAAGCCTTAATTAGGTAGTTTTGGTACCGGCTTGGTGCATTATGCATGTCTATTCAGACTCAATAAGCCAGTTCGTATAAGCACTTATCTGCACATGGTAGATATAGGTAATTCAGTTCAACATTTTAAAACCCACGGAGACGAACAGTGGATTAATTCATTTGTAGAAGGTCCATGATTAAATCACGTTCATGAAAGTAATGTTAACATTTTTCATTTATGCATTGACCGTACATTCAATGATACACAATCATGAAGGGGGTATTTTGTTCAAAAAGGGAGAAAAGGCTATTCCTGCAACACCTCCGTCTGTTAGGCAGCGATTTTTGTTTTGTTTAAATGCACAAAGTTGATTTCTCAATGTTTAAAGAATCTGTGGATATTTTGATGATGAGTTGTGTTTTCCACGGTCTGGTCTATTACCTCGGTCCATCCATCATAATGATAGCTTTGAGATAGCCATTAGAGAGTGAGAAGATGATGACGAGGAGGGCGTAGCCGATGTCACTGTCGATCCAAATAGGTAGAGTTCGTCGATCAGACCGATAGTTGCAGAACACAAATATAAAGAATACAAGACGGAGGACGACCAAAATCCACGTTAGGCGAGGGTATTTCTGAGGCAAAAGGAAACATGATTAGGTTTTAAGTATCATTCTATAAGAATACTTTGTTATTTTCGCTTAAGTCTTACCATTTTATTGTCATATAATTATACAGTACCTTTTACAGTACAGCTTAGTAATACACTACAATGTATTTTGTGGCATGCAACTACGTTTCCCATCGCTTTCCTTTATTTTTTTCCGTTTATTTTTCCTTCCATATTATTCTCCTCTTTCGCACTTAGTGTATTGTTCTATAGGCCTAATTAAGACGTATCCGACACAGGCCTATACTTTATAGTATTAACGCCTTTTTGCTTTGCAATCAGTGCAACTGAATTTGTCTGAAAAAAAAAATTAAGTGACAACAGATTATTTGTAGGAAAAGGCTTGGATATTCATTTTGGATGTTGTACATCTTTTAATTTATATGAAATTGATATGCTGAGTTCAATCCCAATCACCATGATATATCGACAATATTTTTGATATGGCAGGTGCGTAATGGCGTGTTAATGAAAAGTGGCCCGACAATTTTATTTTAAATTCAACTATATGCTGATCTGGGTATTTTTTCTAAGTGGATGAAAAAATGTGTTTCCTGGTGAACAGAGGAATATATCATGCAAAGCTGAATAATTTATAGAACAGTAATGCTGGATCTACAGGCTTTCATTTATTTTCATGTGTTTACGCAAACATTGTCAACTGTCAAAACAACAAAAAATACACGATAATAAACATCCATGTATAATACACGATCAGCCAGTAGTAAAACACTTACCGTCCCTCGAATCAGTAAACAGACAGGTAATAGGGCGTTTTTCTGTTATTGCCCCTAAAACTCGGAATGCAATCCTATAACCCCCTGGACTAAAGAATTGCCATACTCTCACAGCTTTCAAGAGGTGTCTAAAAACTCATCTTTTCTAATTTGTTGTAATATTCCTTTCTGTTTATAATTAATGTAATCTTCATATCATAATGTTCTCTCTTTTTTTTTTGGGGGGGGGTAATTATTTCTTGTTTATGAGCTTTGTATCTAATCCAAAGGCGCTTTATAAATGTAATATTTTTGTATTATATCAAGAAGAAGAAGAATACAAAGAAAGAGGGAAAACAATCCAAAAACTAAAAGAGAGAGAGAGAGAGAAAAAAAGGGTTTACCCATCTCAGACGAGGTATGGCCGGTACCAGACTGCCCAAGAAATCCCCAAAGTTGTAGGTGAAGAAACAGACGAGAGGGACGAAGTAGAGGTCGAGAAAGTCGGACTGGTGGTCATTTGATGAAGGAATCTCGACCAGGACCACGGGGAACAGGGACAAGGTCACGAAGAATGTCATCCATATATTGAAAAATTGCATTTTTATCTGATGAATAGACAATGGAGAAGAATTTCATGTTCATTACATTGAGATGAGTGTTATTAAGATTACTTTTAAAAGTATTCATGACTGCTGCTGCCTGGAGGATACATATCATTTAGCTGGTTATACACGTTGAATATTCTCATTGTAGTCATCATCAAAATTACTTCTCTTATCCACGAAATCGTTGCCGTTTTTAATTAAAGATGATGAAATTAAGATTACAATATTATGCTCGATTTGTAGCTCTATAGTGTACATTCTAGATCAATAATCGTAACAATTCTGCTTTTCTTTCAACTGATGAAAATGTAATGTATAATTGTTTTACGGGGGAAAATATGTTGCGGGCATACTTACATCCCAGAATATTTGGGCTAGATTGGTGCACGTTGTACAGCATTGCCTTAGAGCGCTACTGTCCATCATACCCGATGCAGCTTTGTTGATCTCATCAGCCGCTTCGTTTCCTCGGGCTATGCCGAGGTGATACTTCACCACTGACTACGGAGCGACAGACAAAATACCATTTTAGTGATGACCGTGAAATCTGATATCTATCCCTATTGGTTTTAAATGCAGATCTATAGGTATCTCAGTGGTCGTTTACATTAATGTTAAATTAATTAATTTCATTACAGGACCGATGAACTAGATCTTGATTTGTTTTGTTTGTGTTCACTATACTCAGCAAATGATTTTGAACAGAAAATAAAGATAGAGTGACTTTAAACAAAATTTTCTTCCCACAATTTTGCCCACATTTAAAAAATACATTTTACTATCCTGAAAATTCTGTTTCTTTTTTTTTCCAGTAGAAAAGGGGATGTTGCCTTCCCCCTTCCTCCGATTAACTATCATAGATACGTGAGATAAGTGCATATTCAACAAAAGCCGTTGTTAAAAAAATATAAAAATTCCAATTTATACCAAACAAAAAACATTCATTCATTCAGGCGCAAACGCATGGGGTGGTTTTTTTTTATGTGAGTAGTTTGGAGGAAAACACCCCCCACCCCTTTGTGTTTTTGTTGATTTTAGTTTATTTTTTTAATTAAAAAAAATTATGCTAACGAATGAAGTAAAAAAACGCGACCTTACCCCCCCCCCCCCCCACTAACGGAACGAAATGTCGATCGTTCAAATTTTCAAATTCCGAGACCAAAAAAAAAATCCTCTTACCCCCCCCCCCCCCCCCCCCCCCCCTATATATAAACAAATAACGTCGCTTTCGTGAAAACCAAGTATCAAAAACTGCTAGGCTAATTTCATTAGGAAATAGCTTTTCTAAAATAATATAGTGTCCTTTTCCCTAGCTCGCTTCGCTCCCTCGCAACTATTACAATGTAAAGCGATCATTCTGTTTAACAGCGAGGTGCCTGAACATACCTTATATATTTTTTAATAAAATTACTTTTTACCACTCTCGTTCGTGTACAAACATGCTCATTCTGGGCAACGAGATGCCCAAGCATAACCTCATACTCGTATATCAAGGCAGCCGAATATATGATTGATGTATCCACGCATATTCGGCGGCGAGGTGCCTGCATACATTACTATATAATATAGTGTGTTGATTGCAAAAAAATGTTTTACCATATGGCGAATTCCCATTTTTGGAGTCGCTCGCTCGCAAAGTAAAATACACAACAAATGTGTATTTACGTGTGTATATGGCACTTGAAGAAATGCCAGAATGATGCAAAATAAATCTTTATTATGATCAGAACCATGCAGTCAATCACTGTATCCTCAAATTATGATGTATCAATCTATATTTCATGATTAAACAGGTTTAACTCATCTGTCATTTTTTTAGAGTCTGATGATTGAGTGATAAAAACTACCAAAGCAATTGGAGTAGCGTCGTATAAGTAAAGACGTTTTATTGATCTAGAACTAGATAATTTATCCAATTATTTTCTTTACTTTCATCAGTGATTGGGAACCTCAGCGTCAAAATTGATTACTTTACCATTTTGTAGAGCAGGCAGTAACTGACGACGCAGACGAAAAGAACGACAACGGCTGTTGTGAAGTAGCCAACCGCCGCACTTCGATGAGTACCGGCAACTGGTATTAACAACATAGAAAAGAATAATTCATTCATTCATATATATATATATATATAAGTAATGATTTCGTCCTGACAATAGGCCTTTATATTCGGTTAATGGAATCACCAAGTATCAACAACTTCTTATTAATATTCGGAACTGTCGGTCCCGTTCAATACACCCTACCATGATGTATGACAATAACCTATTATCTTGAAGGATAACCACTGAACCAAGGAAAACGTTTGGTTTTCAAATAACCGTTGAAACTGATCTGCCGTACGCAAATGTATACACGAGATATATAACTCAACATAATTATACACTATATACATTTTTTTAAAACTTTGATTTAAACATTTTAAAATTAACGCAACAGCAATTACTTCCGACGATTCAATCTTTATGTAATTTTGATGTTTTTCTTTCTGTCACCAATTCGTTGTTGGACTCGTTGGTGTGACTGATGTATAAAGATGTGATCATAAAACCACAGTATTGATACATGACTGAAATATTCTCCAAAGTTACAGTGACCATAATTAAAGCTTAACCCATATTTTTGTACATGACACAAATCCTGCGACTCCAAATTAAGCTTGAGAATTATTTGTACGTGTTTTACTTACTTGCTATTGAAATGATCGCAGAAATGGCAACAAAGGTTCCGCCGAAGCCCTATATAAAGTAGGTAATTAAAAGGAAAATTGTAAATGAAAGGTATTTCGAATGTTACCCTTTGCCTCTCAGCATTTTGATTAACTGGTATTAGTGAGGGAAAAGTAGAGTGAATGCACCCCCAAACCGAGACGGTTTTTTTTCCTTCCCTTATTTCTCTCGTTCATGCTCTGCCTCTATCTCTCGATCTCAGTCTCAACCAAAGTTTCAATATAATTTCAATCTCAGTCTCAATTGCAGTCCCAATCTCAATCTCAGTCTCAATCTTAATCTCAATCTCAGTCTTAGTCTCAATCTCAATCTCCGTCTTAGTCCGAATATCAATCATAATCTCAATCTCAATCTCAATCTCAGTCTTAGTCCGAATCTCAATCATAATCTTAATCTCAGTCTTAGTCTCAATCTCAAATTTAATCTCAGGTTCTATCTCAGTCTCAATCTCAATCTCAATCTCAGTCTCAGTCTCAATCTCAATCTCAGTCTTAGTCTCAATCTCAATCTCAATCTCAGTCTCAGTCTCAATCTCAATCTCAATCTCAGTCTCATTCTCAATCTCAATCTCAGTCTTAGTCAGAATCTCAATCTCAATCTCAATCTCAGGTTCTATCTCAGTCTCAATCTCAATCTCAGTCTCAGGTTCTATCTCAATCTCAATCTCAGTCTCAATCTCAGTCTCAGTCAAAATATAAATACCGATCTCGATCTTGCCTTCGATCTCGATCTCAATCTCAGTCTCAAACTCAATCTTTATTTGAATTGGAATTAAATGCTTTGTATGTGAGGAAGAAGACGAGGAATAAAACTTGAAATTGGAACAATTTACCTGTCCTACGAGGTAACACTGGATGTAACTAGGAGGGAGCTTAGCAAGGAGGGTGTACATCCCTGATTGGTAAACAGCTGCTGCAGCTATATAGAGAGAGTAAAAAAAAATCAAAACACCAATCCTTTCATTCTATCCAGGGGCCGACGGCGACTAAAAATCGACTGGGGGATTTCTATAAGATACAGTCATATCAATCGGCCCTCAGATCACAAATAGTCTAGGAAGCCAACATATCGAGAAGCCCGTGGGGAAAACTCCCCAAACTTCCCTTGGCAATTAATTTTGCTCTGATTACTTCCATGTCTTCATTGTGCTTTACCAAAACAAAAGTTACAAACTTTATCATGCATACTTCTTATCTTAAAATAATTATGTCTTATGAACACAATAAAAAAAACTCACTTATTTAATTTAAAACAAATTGTGAAGCGCATTTTATATAGAAAATGCTCCAATTCGCTAATTGAATACATCACTTTCATTATTATTATTGTTACAATTATTATTAGTGTTACAATTATTATTATTATTATTACTGATATTGTTATTATTATGAAAATTACGGGATAATATTTCGTATTGTGCACGGACATGCAGAAGAAAGGCCATTTAAAAATGGGCTGACGCAGCGTATTCGTGTTGAAATAAAAATGTGATAAAAACAAATATGAAGTTTACGATAGTTCCACACAGAGATGAAATAACAAATACATCACTGTTCATAAAAGTTGACAAACATAGGCTATTAATTTCAAATTGGTTTTCACGTAACCCACCTGACATCACATTGTTATTTCATACTCTCATCTACTTAATTGCCGACTATTAACTTAAACATGCAGTAAAGATGTGTCGTTGATGTTTTCTATGACATCTCAGTATTATTATCATTACTCGTTTACTTTGTAAATAAAATGCTTTGATGAGAACAATCAAAGTATAGAATCTTCATCTCTTCTGTTTGCTACTCAATGAAATATCCTTACTTTGTGTAGACATAGTACACGTAATATTCTACGCAGTCATAAGAGAAGCCATAGATATAAATCTGCATAGCCTCCCACCTGAACGAATGTACGTTAAAAAAATACGCTCTATGCTGAGAAGAATGTGCTATTCATAGGATTTTTTTATCATGCTTATAAGTATTTCATTCTTACCATTGAATATCACTATAGTCACCATCGTGATCCCAAAAAATGTTCCAGGCCCTGCAAAATAAACAAAAAATAAACATAATAGAAAGGGCTTTTTAACGGGTAATGTTATTTCTTCATCAAGAAAAATTATTTCAAAATTATTTGTAACAGTGAGAGAGAATTTTGATAACACGCAACCAAGGCAACACAATAATTATATACAAGTAAAAATGGCTTAAATGGCGCAATGTAACAATATAATATGAAAATGTTGTTACCACATTATATTGGTATTATAATCAAAGTTAGTATAACGTTTATTATCATAATGATAATAATTATTATTATTATAATTATTACTGCTATTATCATTATTGTTATTAATATTATCATAATTACTAGTAATTTTATTGTTATATTATGTTGGTAGCTTCTGTAACATTTCACTACACTCATTCTTCATATACCGGCGCAGTCTTTCAGTAAAGGGCCAATTTTCTTGGTCACGTTTGTAGTTCTATAATTGCCGTCCAAAATATTCCACAATTTCAGATTTCTCTTAGAAGAGTCAAGTTTCAATGAAATCTTGCACGACAGGGGTGGTGTAGTTTTAATTTCTTGACATTTAGCATTTTTCAGTTTTTTTTATCATTTAGAGTCATTTAGTTCATACAGTGTATTATTATGAAATGCCTTTCATTGGGCTCTGTGTTGTTGGTGTAGATAATAGGTCAGGGTTTTTTTTTCAGTAAAGGAATTTAATCAAATCAATGGCCACTTCTCTACGGCTGGAGATGGGGGCACTGGTAGGGGAAGGAGTGAGGGTGGGGGTACTGCTCGGACACACTGATACCATGACTTACATTGTGACGTGTCGAAAATAGCCAATAATGTAGTGATGATAAAGAGAAAGAACATCACTACCAACCCAGCAAAACACCACACTTTAGATGTTCTGTAGCAAGACAGAAAAAGTGTCCGAAATAGCATTTCAATCTCCTAAATATCTTAGATCACATTTTTTGTATATATTATACACAATATCAAAATGCTAATCATACTAGGCCTATACATGACTTGTATTAGAAACTAGGTCCGACCATGGTCCAACGCAGATTACTGGCAATCACGATATACGACGAAATTGCCAGATATGTTATAGATTGACCTAAATAAACATGCGAACATAACTTTTCCTTTTCATTTATCATTTCCGAGGAATACTCAAAACGGATATGCCAACAAAGTGCGTCAATGTGGGGGCATGCTGTGTATTTGCCCCCCTCCCCACCCTTAAACACAGCCTGATTATGGTATGTTGCTAATAACACATATTTATGTGTCGCCATCTAAGTTTTGAAAATAGAAAGACAGTGATCGCCGTCCCTTTCTCATACGTTAACTTTTATTTTGACTGTCATTTCAAAAGGGCGTCAAATAGCGCATGAAATATCTTAAAGCCCTATATTTCCCTTCAAAATAGTGAAGATGAACGAATGAATAAATGAATAAATGAATAAATAACCCCCCAAAAAATCAATAAATAAATATATATATAAATATATTCATAAATACAAGAATAGATAAATAAATAAATGATTCAATATGTGTATAAATTTACTGAAAAAAATTAAATTGTTAGCCAAAATATGAACAAATGAAACACAGATAAAGTTGAATCTCCATCTCGAATTACTCGGTAAAATTGTAAACAAATACAATGATTGTATTTACCTTGCAGGAAAGAAGAGTGAGAGAAATAGAAAGAAGACGTACGGAGTGAAGTTGCCATAAGCGACATACAGGGTAAATTTATCCTTGTATTCCATGTTGTCACTCACGTTAGCAAATTTGTGATCTGTAAAATACTAAGATAACAAACAAGTAATGTGATTGCATATTAAAAATATTTAAAAAAAACTTAATGGCAACGATGAAGTAGCCCCTTTTCCCTCACCCCCTCCCATCTCCCCTCAAAATTATCATTGCGGAACTAGAGCCTACAGAGAGAGAGAGAGAGAGAGGGGGCGGGGGCTTAGAACACTGTAAAAAAGTAATAGTCGAAATAACTCAATGAAATTGAGGAAAAGAATTGCCTTATTTTTATTAAGTAAATATTACCTACGGCATGTTAAGTAGAATTTACTTATTTTGCTGAATAAATTTTTACTCAGTTAAATCGAGTTACAGTAAAAGTAAATAATTTAAGTATTGTAATCATTTTAGATAATTAAAAAAAAAGCTATGATAGGATTACATATTGCACGATTTGGTACCCATCTAATCTAACAAGCAACTTCCACTAATCAATCACTACTTCTATTTAAGAGTGAACCGTATATTTATATCTACCACCATCACAAACTATTACATACGCTTCAATTCGACACATATTGAAAGGCTCCAAATTTTATATATATATATACTTGATCGTAGCATCTTAAAAGGAAAATTGGTTGACAATTTCCTGAAATATCAAGTTTTTATTTGTTTTGAACTGGGTAACAATTAAAATTGTCTTGTCTTTGCTTAGCCATGTTAAATGAATTAATAAATGTTTTAAAGTCCTTAAATTTTCATTCAACCACAAAAAAGAATTGTTTTATTTAAAAAAGAGTTTAATTTGGTCTTAATGAATATTCATAAATTATGTAAATATTTCTATTACGCACTGTATCGGTCCTTACTTTAAAAAGATAAGAATAATCAACATAAATTGTTTGAGTAATACGTATAATTTCTGATTTTGAGTTAAAATTACTAAATTAATACAAGCTGAAATTACTTAAAGTTCTTATGTATTTGATTTTACTTAAATATTCCACGTATGTTCTACTAAATTGAAAGTTTGAGTTAGCAAGACTTAAATTTAGTGCGTAAGTGGCAAAACTAATGTTTTCAAGTAAATTCTACATGGAAAAAATACGTAAAAATTACCAATGAACAAATTATTTTTTACAATGAAGAAAGGAAACATACGCACAGAAAAATAAATGAACTCCGCCACTCCCAGCCAATCATCTTTTATCAAATTACAGAACTATGTGATTTACATCTTCACCCCAAGAAATATAGTTTATTGCGCATTTTACAATACAAAATGTTCAAAGTAGCACAGCAAATGATCGTTATACTTTCTCTCCTAATTTTGTGAATGGGCAAACTTTGATTTATTCTAACATCCAGGGTGCAAAGTCCCTTTGCACTCTTTAGATACGCCACTGTAAATGAGCAACAAATGAAATTTATCAGCCGTCAAATATTTTTAAAAGTCCTGCAACCTTATGCAAATTAGACTAAAGGATATACGATGGCTTTCGAATGAGGTATACTAGAATCGATACCCCAACAAAATGATTTAAGATTGAGGTTGATATATTTACACGTTCAGCTGTGATGAAACTATTCCATGGGTACAGAGTTCCGATTCCTTGGATAAGGAATATCATTGCCACAATCCCAAACCTAAGTAACATAATAAAGAAAAGGCTATAAATACAATTCATTTATGATAACAGAGCATGCAAGATGAGGGATATCATGATGTGAGTTTAGTCACTGTCATACTTTCTACATTCCCAAAAGACCTCTCCCCCCCTCTTTCTCTTTCTTTCTCTTCTCTCTCTCTCTCTCTCTCTCTCTCTCTCTCTCAATCCCCTCCCTCCTCCTCTCTTTCTCTCTCTCTTTCTCTCTCTTTCTCTCTCTTTCTTTCTCTCTCTCCCTCCTCCTCTCCTTTTGTTTGGTCTCTCTCCCACTCCATTTCATTTTCATTACTATATTATCATACTATATCATTATCATTATTATCATCATCATCATCATTATTTTTTTCTTATTCGTATTCGTATGCGTATAATTATAATTATTATTATTATTGTTATCATTAATATCATTATTATTTTCAATTATCATTCTTATTTTCATTCTTATTCTTATTATCAATATAAATATTATTATTATTATTATTGTTATTATTATCTCAATTATTATTATAAATATTACCCATCTTCCCCTCCCACTTTTTATATCCATGCTATTTAATGATATTCATTTCTCATTTTGAGACGGATCTTATAGAAACTGCTTTTACCTGTCTTTCGGAACCATCCTGTATTCTGGCTCTCCATTTGGTGTCTCTCTGAATGTCCTCGGATAATCTCCTTCATTCACGCGGGCCATCATCAAAGATTCGCTAGCATCTCCTCCTGCCATAGTAAACTATACTGTTCTCCTTTAACCACGACTGGATGTTTAACACTGCATAAGCAAGAGCAATTTAAACGCAAACATTACTTTAGTCTGCAGAAAATATTTGTTGTCCACTCCAAAAATAATTTGTTTTTAATAGATGCAGAAAAACAAAAGAAACAGAGCAAAAACAATTGATTAAAATCAAATAACTAATAAGGAAGTTATGAACTTTTTTTAAAGTATGAAAAACTATGGAACTTAGAAAACCACAACACAAATTGCCTATTGGTTATCAGTTTATTACGTCATTGCCTCACTATTTATCATTGCTTTATACATTTTCATCCCATTCATTTCCCTTGTTATCCCCAAAAACTTGATTTCCCCATGCCTTTGCCCAGTTTATATGACTTGTATTATATTGCGTGCATGACATTTCACAAAATCCTTTATGAACTTTGAAGGATTTATACTACTTTCTGAATATTTTATATTCATAATTATTGATTTTTATATAAATAGTTTATTCAAACTCACATTGTTCGTGATTTAACTAGAATTTTTGTCTCTATATTAGTGCATCCACACAAAAACATATTACTATCAATCTAACTTGGATGCTGGTGTGAAGAAATAAGATTCTTAGGGAGAAAATAGGAAATTTATATTATCAATATAAAGAAAATAATTAGTGGATAGTGAGGACATGACGTCACAGACTCATGCGTGAGTTGCCAATTTGTCTTGTGATTTTCAAAGTTTTTCATGTCATTAAAAATTAATAACTTTCTTATTATTTATCCGATTTTGCTCAAACTTTTTTTTTTATTGGTTTGTCTGATTTTTCTGCTTCTATTAAAAGTACGTTATTTTTGGAGTGGACTTGGCCTTTAATGAATTACTATGAATGTGCTATTATACGAACAAATTGGTTTTTGTAACTTCCTTAAAACTTCTTTTGTATTTTCTTCTGTTTTGTGATCATATAATGTATATTTGTCATTGAACACTTCTGTACACTTCTTTGTGATGTATAATTCTGCTGTTTATCTTTGAACCAATGGAAAAAGAATTGCTATTTTACAACATTATGAAAAAATAAATTCAACTTTAAGGTTATCATCATTCGAAATCAAATTAATAACATAGGCCTTTAGTATTTGCAAGCACTAAACTTGACTATAAAAAACACTGTTTTATGCAGGCGCGTACGCAGGATTTTTTCAAGGGGGGGGGGGGTTTAACATTTATAAATTATAAATCGGGGGGGGGGGTAAGAGCACACTTTTTTTTTTTTTTTGTTGTATCGAAATTTGAAAATTTAATATTTTGCTCCGTTGGGGGGGGTATGGTCATCTTTTTGAGGTCAGCCATGGGAATTTTTTTTTTTTTTTTTTTATATAATAAAAAAAAAAAAAAAAATCCAAAAGGGGGGGGTTTAAGGTAATTTAGGGGGGGGGGGGTTTACACAAAAAAATTACCAAAGGGGGGGGGGTTAACCCTCCAAACCCTCCCCCTGTGTACGCGCCTGGTTTTATGAATGTAACTTTATAAATATAGAAGTAATTACTTGTATTTAACTATTACTATCAAAATTATCACCACTATCATTATTGCTTTAACTATCAATTTTGAGAGCGTACCATTATAAGCAACAAATTTGCCACGAAGTGGTATTTTACGCCTTAAGTAAGAATATTCATTTTCACTAAACAATAATCAATTAGATTATAAATAGAGGAAACGCTAGTTTTGGCAGGTAAATTTTTACTTT